CGACCGCACCCGAGGCCATCCATGGAAAATCGCAAAACCCAGAGCTGAGTCAAGACCAAGGAGACAGGCTTTCAGTGCCCGGGTGGTCAATGACTGGAACGGCCTGCCCATGTCAGTTGTTGGCGCCGGCTCTGTTGAGCAGTTCAAATCCGAACTCGACGCCCACTGGGCAAACTTCAGGTACCTGGTACCTGACTGGAGATAGTCAAGTCTCAAAGGATTCGAGCTCGATGAGAACGGTTCCCTACAGGCCAAGTGGCCTTTAAAATTCCGATCAAATTAAGGTAAGGTAAGGTAAGGTAAGGTCACAATGCAGTGTGCGTCATGATTTCTCAACTCTATGCTTACAATATATTTCCATTTGTCAATCACATATTGTTTTTTGTTACAGGCTTTCCGTTTATGACTGAGGCCGGCATCTCACCTGTCCTGGCTACGCCAAATCACTGCGGATGCCGGATGCCGAGGACCGGAGAGCCAACCGCTTTGAGGCGTGAGCTCTGTGGCGTGGCTCGAGTGACGGCTACGGCGCCGTCGACCTGGTTGAATAGCTGGGGCCTGGACGAGGGTGCCCTTAGTACGGTGGCCAATCGGTTACGTCCGAGGGGCGCTCGAACACGCTGCCGTCGCGTGGCTGCCGGCGGCCGCCCCCTCGCACGTGAATCTTCTGGAGCGAGGACTGCGAGAGGCGGCCGCATCATCACCTGTGTCCGCGCTCAACACCGTGCCACGCACTAATGGCGGAAGCCCGACTTTCTCCGATGGAGGAGAGAAGCTGGACGCTGGCTGCCAGGCTGCTGGGGAGGGCGCTGGCTCTGCCATCAGGGGACCCCCTGCGCGCGACCGCCAAGGCCTCGGCACCGGCGCGCCTGTCTTCGGTCCGAGGCTGGAGATTGCGAGGCCGCCAGGCCTGGGCGAGAGCGAGAATCCCACCGTGTCAACAGACGGCTGGCGTCACCTTCCGGTTGGACGTGTGCCCGATCCGGGCTGGGGCCACGGCGGCGGAAAGGGAAAGCGTGGCTACGCTGCACCTCGCGTTCCTGCCCCTGTGTGCTGTTCGGCTTTGGACGGACGGATCTGCGGAGGGCGGAGTCTTCAGGTGCTGGGCGGGAGCCGTGCTGGTCTGGCTGTATTTGTATTTGTATTTACATTTAAGAGCGATCCACATACAAAGTGCGTGGCGATTACTGCTCAGAATCCGTATCCGCGGCTGCTGATCTAATCATTCAAAACATTTGCACATTCACTCACGTCAAAACAAGGACAAGGCTGGACGAAGAGGCCGAGGAACTGCGGGCCCCGGCCGGAGAGCTGTGCTTTAGCTACCGCGCGGAGATGGTGGCGCTGGTGACCGGTCCGGAGACCCTACTCGGAAGAGACAGAGACCAGGACCTGCGTTCCGTACCTATCTGCTAACTGTGCGGTGGTGCTGGTGTAGTGCAGCATTTTTGGATGGATAGCTACATTTCACGATTAAATAGCTGTTACGTTTCAGTGCAGGTGGCGTGACGAACAATGTGGTAGTTATCTGTTGGCCACTTCTGCGGCCGCTGCTATTTCCTACTCGAAGGCGGGCGCGCTGTTTGGCTGGGCCGCCAGGATGTTCCCATTATGTGTCGACGACAAAGCGAGTGTATTCGTGTTCTTTTAATGCACAGAGGTCTGTTGTATATTTGAAGTTTTATTTTAAGTTGACGATTGCGAAGGGCAGATTCATCTTCTCTCTTTCATTTGTGTTGCCACTTTATCGTTCATGTTTGTTATAAGTGTCCATGCGGCTTGGTTGTCATCTTTATTCCTGATGTATTTTATTTTACGAATATGCTGGTGATCAATGCAATACACTTTTGGTTAATAATGCTGCTTTAGCTCTGATCCTTTGTGGTATGTCTTGACTGTACTACTGCGATAGCGATTTTTCCTCACCAAAATATGCAGGCAACCAATGTAAATGCTGCCAAAAGTTTGTCATTACCTGATGTATCTAAAAAACATCGAGTTCCTGAACGTGGTCGTGTACTACGTAACCGGAAACTCAATAGGACGCAGAATTCTGTGAAGCAAAACTACAGAAGTGAGGCTGGCCACGCCAAAATCAAGTGAGATATTTCTAGCCTTTCTTCAGCCGCCAAGGGTTCGATAGACTATCCCCGGGTTCGGTGTCTCTCGAACTACGAAGATTTAACGTCGTCCGGCCAATCCTGGTTAAGGTCAACGGGGACTTAGCTGTGGTTATGGAACAGGATTGGCCGTCCGAGAGACTCCGAACCTGGGGTATGTTACAGCACAGCTATGTCGACCGAGTGTCGTCGCAAGCTGCACCACTAGACGAGAACAAATAAAACCGTCCCGTCCTAGGCTGACTAGGCTTAGCTAGGTGGCAGCACAGTCGCGCCGGCAGGGGGCAGTGCCACAACCAGCCGACTGATATTTTCGTGTGACGTCAGAACCGGTGCCTCCCTGACTGAACCCGTCCGCCCGCTCGCCCCACACTGCGCCGCCGCCGGCCCGTGACTGCGGCCGGTCGGTCACGTGGGGACCGCAGCGACCTCTACGGGGTCGCGACCCTAGCGGCCGGGTACTGCAACTAAAGATGTAAGTACGTTTTAAAAACTTCCCGAGCTGGAATCGAACCAGCGACCTTCACCACAGAAGTCCACCACTCTACCAACTGATCCATCAAGGACGCAAACATCAATGCTTTGAATAAGCCGTGGTACTCTGCACGGCTTGATGACATGGTTTGGTGCGTATTGCGACGTTTTACGGCGAAGTGGTTGGGAGCAAATTTGGTTTTAAATGAAGGTTATACGCCATGTTTCTTGGCGAAATTTTCAGAACAACAGGGCAAAAGCAATACAGTACGCTGGAATTGGTTGTCCAGCGGCGACATGCACGTTTTATGATTGGCGATCGCCGGTCGTGTGAGCTGACGTCACGCAGACAGTCAGCGCCATCTCTGGAGCGTCTGGCGACATAGTCGAGGGGCCGAGTTTTGCCATTTGGGGGGTGCCAGTGCGATTGAAAATGTGCCTATACGCTAGCCACGGCCGGGAGCTGTCGATTGGTGTTGGAATCGTGTCTGTAGGTAGTGTGTGTCGACCGTGAGAGGGATCTGACTGAAACGCTTCACGTATTATTTATTGTCGATTGGAAAATAAGCCATACAACAGCCAACTATCTTGGTTTTTACGCAAAATCATCGTTGGGTTTCTCCTGAGCACTTTGAAGTAGCATGCTGTGTTTCATTTAGATTACCTGACGCAGCTACATTCTGGCCAAAACAGGCCACCAGAAACTTTATCCGACTAGGGATGCCAAAAACACCGCTCAAAGTTGAAGAGGAACAGATCGCCAACTTGCAGGATTGGACAGAGTTTGTCGGTTCTCTTTATTGGTCACGATATGAGTCTGAAGGCAAAAACAAAACAAGAAGCGAGCGAAATGACAACACTGTGGCAAGCCGACACCAGGCCTTAGCGAACTGATTCACTGACATTTCACTGCACCCACTATGAAGTAAAATTAGAAATGTTTGGAAAGGATTCTAATTGAAGAAGTCGCCCCGAAATTGATGAAAGAGCTATTGCCATAGCATTGTCCATCGGCCTGCCGTTTAGAACGCCCCCGAAACTTGCCGGCAACGACAGATGAACAATGCTTCAGCCGCCCATCGCTCGGTCATCAGACGGACCATTACCAGTCATTCAGGCGTCATTCGGGGGCCATATCGCGGCCAGCCACTCGTACACCGCCCGCAACTGGATTGGCGCAGCGCTCAGTTGAAGCCGGTAAATCGACAGGGGCGCTGTCCATGCAGGATCACCGGCAGCGATACCGTCCAGTCCGGAATGCGTGAGCGGAAAACGACGCACGGCGAGGCTCTCTGATGGCGAGCGGTCGCCCGAGCGCCGGCTGATGGCCGTCGTTAGCCGAAATTGGTGGAGCCGTGTCGGCCCGGCCGAGCCGGAGCGGCGGCGAGTTTTGGATGAGGCCCGACCGACGCTCCACCATGGCCGCCAGGAACGATGAGGTCCGACGTAGATAATGGAAACTTCATCGTCGGGCGCCGCCGGGCCCGCGTCGGCCCGCGACTGGAGCGCCATGATGCGGCGTCGGTCTCAGAGAAATGAGCGAAACGAGACAGGCAGCGCAGTATTTTCTGAGCCAGACGAGGCGCTAGGTAAACTCTATAGCCTTGGGTAAACTGTGGAATGACGTGACAGACAGTTTTATTGGCCTGTGCCTGGTCGAGAGTTTAACGGGCAGAAGTGGCGATGACTACACCAAGGCGCTTGGAGATCTTTAGGTAGCGTGACTTGGTCTTCAACATACGTTTAACATCCCCCTAGAGAGGTAGCTCAGGCTGGGATTTTCAATAGAAAATCACAATTCTAAGGAATAGTGATTCCCTAATTGAAAAGTCCCAGCATTCGGATATCTGTGGGTTGATATAGCTTCGGAGACACGTATGATGTTACGAGTTTTCTTGGCGGAGCTTGCGCTGGCATGGACCACTCTGACCTGAGCTTTCATATCTGGTCTGGAATGTTCTGTCCTAAACTAACCCCGCGTTCGATGTCTCCCGGACGACGAAGATTTTATGCCGTCCGGGCCCAAAATGCCGTTCGATGTCGCACGGAAGGCAAAGATTCTACGTGACGTCACGTAGAATCTTTGCCGTCCACGCAGAATCTTTTGAGCGTACTACGGTGGGCAGAGAGGCAATGATGGCGCGTATTTCAAAAGCGGCGCAGCAGCTGTTTGCAGAAGTTGTTGACATTTGTGCGCGGTCTCTATGGAAACGTAAACTTGTGCCTTCTTCGAAACTGACGCACATTGTGTAAGTGGCGCATAAAATGGCCGGTCTCGTCGTCCGACTGTGTGCTTCACCGAACGCAAAATAGAATATTCTGCGTAGAATGTTCTTCGTCCGAGGAGACATCGAACGCGGCCTAAGTTATTCTGACTTGATTTAACCTGCCCTGAAATCGACCTACCTGGGTGCCAGGTCACTAATGGTGGCCGTGGGTGGAAAGCAGAGACCGTGGTCCTTGAGTGACTCGCTGGTGAAGCCGGACGCTCTGCTGTGAGCGTCCTTGTAGAGCTGGGTGGCTGCCTCGCGCACCTCCAGACCGCTACAGGTGCGAATCAACACCCTGGTGGAGGGAGGCGGGGGTCAGACGCACAGACCGTAGTGATGCTTATGTTACTTATGATTTAAGTGCAGTCTGCAACGTGATACGCAATTAGTTATATGTCATATGCATAGACAACCGTATAACTAGACAAAAGCAAATTACAAAAAAGGAAAACACTTACAGAAACACTAAAAAGATAACTAACTATATGAGAAATAACTTATGATTAATTAGGGTTCTCTTCCGATGATGTATGGGTCAATGGGTACGTCGGTATGACTGCGGATTCATGTATCGGAAACAACATATTGGAAATGTCCGCCGCCAGAGCAGACATAATTCGGTCAGAGAAAGCAGCAATAATTCAAAGTAGCGGACTTCGCCGTCGATCCAAATCGGATGTGAATGTCCTGTTGCCGAGTACCGAATCAAACTATATATTATAAAGCATTTACTATTGCCTATTACATGCAGTGTTCGATTGTTATTTTAGACAAACGGGTCTAACGAACCGTTTGAGGTATAGCCTTCTCCAATAGGAATCATTGCGAGGTTCTGAGTCGTGTAACTGTGATATACAGTAGTGGACCTCACAAAAAAATCAGGACTGAATGACTGATGAATTCGGGTCCATACGGAAAGCATGCGACCAGCTTCCGCGTACAGCGCGGCGGCGTGAGGTGTCTAGTGCTACAAATGCTGTGCCGCAGAGCTGTGAAGTTATGCGGCGCAGCCTATCTAGCAGTGGTGTCCGTCCGTACTGGCTACACGAACAAAGGAGCTACAACACTTCGGAGCTATCAGCAAAGCGCGCTTTTTATGCTACTAAAATTAATTTAATTCTTGAATAAACACATTCCTTTCTTAAACTGGTCAGTCAATCTGTTTATAAGTCAGAATGCTGCAGGCACACCTGAACCGCCGTAGCCCGCCAACAAGCACAGACTTTGAGCCGCTAGTTTTGTTAAATATTTTTGTTTGCCACTGGACTTATAGGTCAATCTGAGGAGAAAATTGGAGCGATTTGTGAGATAGACTCTCATACAAAGAAAAGTGGACAGGGACACGGCTTTTGGTGTTCACCAACGCAATTCACAATAGGAAGTAGGCAGCAAAAGCCGTTTTCAAAGGCCAACGGTATTCGCCAATGATATACCTATTAAGAACTGTCATAATAGCATTGCTGATCCATGCTTGGGCTATGATAATCGACTGTTTCCTAATGACGTCATCACTTAGAGATGCTCAACATCGGGAGCTTGAATAACGCCAACTGATTTCAATTAAGATAACTGCGAACAAGTTCTGAAAAGTTTATCTAGCAGTATGAGGATGCATTGTTGAATGAATTTTTATCAGTGAAGTGAAGCAAGCTAATACAGAAGTTTACATAGATATAACATGATCGCTTCCTTGCAATATTTTGCAATTCCAATCATTATGTAACTCGTTAACTTCGTCGCAAATGCAACAATGTCTGCAGTGTTTCGAACGTTGGAAAATTGTTAATTACAAAAATAGCATACGAAACAAAATCACTGCACAAATGAACGAAAAGAAACTCTCCCTGAGCAAGTGCGAAATTTCGTTTTGTAACTGGATTTTCAAATAAGTTAATCGGTAACGCACCTTTTACAAGCTGTGTTCGATTCTCTCTTTTTTAATAGACGACCTGGTAGGGTCTTATTTAGCCTGGACGCTAAGCAGAGCTTGTTGACTCAGAATATCTATTCATTGTAACTGTATACATGATGTCAGTAATCGTATGCAGTTATGTAGGTGACTGCTGGAGTCAAACCTACAATCTATTTAGCTAGCTGCGGCCTGAACTCGTGTTTGCACACACACATTCCTGTGCCGATCATAGGCGCTGTATGTAGTAGAGGCTATATATACAGTACGCACCGTGTATGCCTTCACTCTCACCTACCTGTGCCTGTCATAGGTGCTGTACTGGGGCCGCCGCATCACCAGTAGCCGAGGCAGGATGTGGATAAACACCCGCCGCACCCAGGGCGCCATCGAGTGCGTTTGGGGCGACCGGAAGTGAATGTTGAGCACCACCACTGTAACACATATACTGAAACACGGAACAACCGCATCAGTTCCATGCATGACATTGACTAGCTACATACATAGATACACCTACTGAAACATCAATCAAAAACATAACATGTTTTTTGGTGGGGATAAAGGCCTGAAATAATAATAAAAACAACAGCCGCGCAGTATGTGCTTGTATATATCAATCTACAAAGGACGCCTGAGTGAGACGTTACCCCAAGAGGTGTTGCGCTATCCCCCGTTTTAGGCGCAGGAGAGCTTGTCGTTAAACTGAGACTCTCAAGCTGCTTTAGGACGGTGTGCGCGGCGAGGCGCTCACCGCTCAGTCCTGCCCAATCCAGATTACACGGCGGCATCCATAATTAAATAGGCCGCCACCCGACCACGAAGGGGCCGGCCATTACCTGAACACGATTATGCAGTGAGAGATCTTCCGGAGAAGACGGTCTAGTGTTCGCGAGAAAATCACCGGAACGGTGTGCTCTAACTATTTCAGGCCGCAAATTGCAGAAATGTAAAAATGGTGAGGAGATATGATTATAGATTCACACTGAGCAGTGAGCAAATAAACAAATGAAATTTGGCAATTGTGAACAAGAACTTGTGTTTTATTCACTCGCCGCAGAACATCAAAAGACTTCATATCTCGTACAAATTGAAGCAGCCTCGATGATCAAACGAGCTCGCCGTAATGTCACCGCCTCCACAAATATTATAGTCCCTGACACTGTGCCACTTCGCCTCAGATCTGACCCCACAACCTGAATATTTATCCGACAACTTCCAACCAGCATTGCACCATGATATGTTGCAACATCAATGTGACCTTCATCACACGGAGTCCATATAAACGTCCCGCTGTGTGACATCCGACGCAAGATGACTTCCTTGATCCCACGCCCTCCGGCAGCGGCTATCTAAACCCTGATCCGGGTGCCGACGCGGGCAGGCACCGGTTGGCTACATTTCCATCAGCACCGTAATCAGGCTTTCCTCTAGCACGGAGCTGCTCTGCTCCCGGGCTTACGACCGGCTACAGGCAGCGGCGGAGCGTGCGGTGGTGGCGCAGGGCGCTTACCTTAGCGTGTCCAATATCATTGTGAACAGGACGAACTTGCCGAGCAGAGGCACCACCAGCGATGTCGGCGGAATAATCTCGGCCAGCAGCAGGAAGAACACAGTGAGCGACAGCAGAATGCTGATGGAGAGACTGACCTGCCGGATCGAAAGGACACAGGTTGGCATGGCAACGCGCGGCGGCGGACACGTTGGCTTAGAGAGGCGCTATAATGGCGACATGCTTCCATGGAAACATAACCATCCATTGTGTGTGTCAAAAATCAAAATGAGTAAGTTTGACATTGCTGAGCCAAAAATATTTACATGCTTTTTCACATGTTTTTTGTCAAATGTTCAACTAACATTTCTAAAAAAAAATTGGCAGCTGGAAAATCAAAGGTACGGCCGCTATGTCCAATAACAAATTAAACGTGAACTACTGCAAACAAGTCCCGCAGTTATTGGCTCTTCGAGTCTGGGGCATACGACTTTCAACAAGAAAGAAATTAGAAAAACAAGAATAATAAAATTCTTCAAACATCCTTTGCGACGATTCTGCCGCAGGATGCGTTCCTTGCAGCCGTTTTCTCGCATATTGTCGCACAATATATCACACACACTCCCCTATTACACCATTCTTGAAACCCATAAACTGCATCGAGCGCGCAACACGTTTTCAACTTGGGACATATTGCATTCCTGAAACACTGCAGCTACGTCAACCAATGTGTACCATTTACCAATGAATGTTATAAAATAGGAAAGTAAAAAAGGGCAATAGATAAGAAACTGTTTAGGGGCTCAGAACAAGGAGTCGCTTATGAAAGGCAATGCCATTATTTAGCTTGATAATAATAATGGAAAGCTAGCACTGACGAAGACGAAGTTCGAAACGCGTTTGCGAAGGCTTTCTATAATACAGTACCTTTATATATAAAAAGTTTCACTTATATAGTCATACATGTCACAATTAACGTTCAACATTTAGTTAGCTTCATGCTAAATGAAGCTCCTCCGTTTATTAAAAAAAAAACTAAATAGCATGACTTGTGTAGGTATATAAAAGGTTGCTTACGTCGTGAGTTGCATTTCAGACCAAAACAACTGGCCAAGTCCTTACCACATACCTTCTCTCCGCTATCGGAGGGCAGGTAAAACACCAGCACGGTGAGAAATGAGATGCCCATGCAGGGGATGATGAGGTTGACCGTGTAGAACAGCGTCTTCCTCCTCATGGTAATGTTGAACGTTATGTCCAGGTACGGCTCGTTGCAACACGTGTAAAACTTTTTGTTCCTGTAATGAAATGACAATTATTCAGCCGTATTAGCGTGATCTTTGGTAATTTGGTACGCTACAAAGTGCAGAAATTAATATGTACCCAGATACACAAAAACAAACAATCACGCATTACGCACATTGGTTTGAAAAGTAGGTTGACATTTGGGCAAAAAGAAATAATGAACGTAGGTTCTGCTAAAACTGAGAATGAAAAAGGGGATATTCTTCAGACACAAGTTATAAAGCTTAGCCTATACCAATCAACTATTGTTTTTTTAGGGGGGAGGGGGCGTGACACACACTGCAAGGTTAGTTACCGGCTCACTGTATAGTGCACTTATAGACTCACCGTATCGCCGGAACATCGAGAATATCCCATTCGACCGAGAGGTAAAAGTCTGACAAATCGACGCCAATTTTCACTTTGGAGTCGGTCGGGTCTTCCTCGACGTGCCGTAAATCGACCTGAAATGGATCAGAACCGGTGGCCTATCAGACCAAATGGGACGAAATGCCCCGGGCTAACTGCGCCCCGCTGGCTGATCTGGATCGAATCGCACTGGGAACTGGGCCTCATCTGACATTGGCCATGAGGAAATGTGCTCCATCTTACCTACGTTGAAGAAAGTGGTCCTACGTATTACAGTTTTTGACTATGGGACCATTTTTGGCCAAGTTATTAAAAAAAAAAACGAATCTCTACTGTGGGGCAGTTCATCTTAACTCAGGTCCCCAGTTGACCTCAAAGCTTAAAATCTGGTACTGCAGTCGCTACGCCTCGTAAGTACGCAAGCCATTGTTTTTTTTTTCGCAGGGCTCTAGCTCAATTAAAGTTGTCTGTTTCAGGTAACAGCATTATTGAAAAGATCTCATCACTCATCAGGTATCGATGACGATTGTTTTGCAAGATGCTGTGACACACCATTTGATGAGATCCGTTATCGAATTCGAATTTCGTTAGGTTCACCCGGCATATATTGCAGCATAGTGCGAGTTGAACAGGTATTTGCACACATGCTATTTAATCAAGTGAATTAGCACTATCTGAATGGCAGGCCGAGCCCATTTGCTGTACCCTAGCGTCCGACTCCGGTCTACCTCCTACCGTCCCTCCCCACTCTCTCTCCTCCCGTCGCCGGCTCATCAGCACTCTGTCCAGCCTGGCTGAACTCCTCTGCATGGCCGGCGGCGCGCCGTGTACCGCGGCCAGATTCAGAAATTCATTTTACACGGGCGCGGCGATCCATCAGGCCGGGTGCCGGCAGACAGGCCGCTGTCCGACACCCCGCCCCTCTCTCCCTCTCCTCCGCCCCTCTCTCCGTCGCTGACGACGCGCCACCAGACGCCAGAGGCGCGCGCCGCTCATCAGAGGCAGAGTATAAGGAGCGGGGTCAGGGTGTTTGCAACACTGCAGACCGCCAGAGGATGCGTCGAGAATGGAGCGGGGTCGGAAACAGGAAAGGAATATGCCACTGAGTGGATGGGAAATGAGTTTACGACCACTGAGCCGAAAATGAAACGGTCCCTCATTGTAAACAGTCACCAGTTGGAGTGTCGATTTTGCCTGAAGGATAAAATTGATTACACACACTTTTACCCAAGAGTTGAATGCAAGACTCCCAAACCCTCATGCGAACACAAATGCCCAGTCAGTGCTGACAGCTCCTTCCACCACAGCCGCAAGACGGCGAGCGTGCACTGGCATGGCCGCAGTCCCACCTTCCACCCCCTGAATAATGGATTTCCTGGACGGTATACATTAGCTCGCGCCGAACGGCTGTCCAAGCCTGGCCGTGCCCGCAGGCTATGGGGGCTGCGTCAGGACGCGCCCCTGGGTCACGGCGGTTCTCTCGCCGCATAGCGAGTGGTCGAGACGTCCCCGGGAGGGTCGGATGTATGACATGAGACTGACGGCGCGGTGCGTGCGAGTGGTGGTGGAGGAGATCGAAAGTGTGTGTTTAGACAATCTTCAAGGATGACGCGGGCAGTATGCAAAAAAATGGGGCATGCTCGGGGAAATGAACATTGGTAATATCTACGTTATGCCACAAATATGTCTTCCTGTTGCTATTTTCATTATCTTTTTTGCAGGAGCTAGTTTTCCCGTTACCCTACCAAAACATCTGAAATTAAGCATGTTACCGTTCAAAATTGTATCCACCTATCATACATGGCATGCACTGCAGAAACTAAAGAAACTAGCTCACCTGTTTTCCGTCGTAGGTCCAGCTGCCGAACTTCATAACGCACGTCTGCTCGTCGAACGGGAAGTACTCGACGTCAATCTCGCACGAGGACTTGTAGATGGCCGGCGGCTTCCATTCCACCTTTCCGTCGGCGTACAGAGTGGCTTTGGTGGCCAGAGTTACTTCAAAGTTACCATCGGCACTGGCGACGAAAAATGCAAACAAAGGTAGGCATAAAGAAACGTCTAGCAATGGAAACGTTTGTAACATATGCATGGTAACATTTTTAAGAGCTGGTGTAGCTTTTAATAAACTCTGTTCGTTTTAACAGCCTGTTGAATTGAAGGTAGGAAGACAGTGACATATATAAAAAGAGAGAGAGAAAAAAAAACATGGCTTACTTGTTGTAGAGAACGATATCTGGCCGCCAAATGTGATCTGAAGGGACGTGAAGCATAGTAACACCGCCATATTCCAGAGGATCCCACTTGAGCTTGTAGTCTTCCCAGTGCTGAGGGAAAAATGATGTGGCAAATAAAGACTACGGCCTATTTCACGAATAAGAACATGCTAATTGCTGTAAAGGGACAATGTTATCAACATTTCTACGTCCAAAAACGACTAAGAAGTTATCAGCATTGCAGCAGATCGTGTTCGTTGGGGTAAGACAAATGACGATATCTGAACTATGATTCATATGTGACGAGTTCACGAGGGCTGTGGACAGGGTTACTTTTACAGGAAAAGTCGAGAGGGGGAATACAGTTCGGGGCAAGGGCGGATCCAGGGGCATCTGAAAGGGGGCCCAGTGTCATTAGGTTTTTGTTAGGATGGCGCCTGCAGAGCCTTTACTACTCCCAAATCCTATACTCTCTCCCCGGATTCTGGCCACTTTATATTGTTAGGTTGCCAAAAAAAAATATACGTAGGTACCTACCTTGGCGGTAAGGGGCGGGGGAGGTCCCAACTTGACTGCGCCCTTGCAAATGTCAATCAGTAGTATTAACCTATTACCCTGGCCAAACATCAAGTAGCGCCTTGCTAAATAGAAAGAGGTTAACACGTGACTATTTTTGCGAAGAGACGGAAGAGACAAGACAAGAGACGGTCCCACCGACCATCGGCATCCGATCGGTATCGGGTGAAATCTGGAGTTCCCGCAAGGGGGAAATTCCCCCTTCCCTCCCTAGCCGTTCACGCACAATTTGAAAGGGGGAGCAGAATTTTCGAAGGGGGGAAATTCCCTTTTTCCCCCTTTAAAAGTTACCCTGGCTGTGGACAAACATTGATTAATTGTCAAAGATACACACATAAAAATATTAACACCGTTAGCGGTGTAATTGTACAGTACATATCTGAGCACTTGAGGAAAGTTAATTTAGTCCCTTCCCCGCTTAAATTACTCGCGCTTCCAAATGAACACCAGGAAGAAGGTAATAGAACACTGTTAGGAGGGTTGGGTGTTTTGCTACATGTAGTAAAACACCCAACCCTCCTAACAGTGTTCTATTACTTTCTTCCTGGTGTTCATTTGGAAGCGCGAGTAATTTAAGCGGGGAAGGGACTAAATTAACTTTCCTCAAGTGCTCAGATATGTACTGTGCAATTACACCGCTAACGGTGTCAATATTTTTCTGTGTGTACGCTTTAGCGCTCTTAATGCAGGATTTTTGTAAATGGAGCAAAGCTGGGAAATGGCACAGGATTTAGCATAGGGACGCCTCTGTTACGATCATCAATGAATGGGCGTCTCTGTTTGACCATGCTCACCTGTTCCACCCATAAATTTGTCGTCATGATCTGATTCTTGAGATTCTGAAACAAAAAGAAACATTGGCATGAGTGACATTTGACCAAACTTACCCTGCAAGTACAACAATTGTTGTACTTTGTTGTAATTGTTGTAAGCCTGTAAAGCCGGACTGAATGTTAACATTCAGTCCGGCTACAGGCTTGAAACAGTATAAATGTAAAACAAACGAGAACTGTATTGGGGTTATAAAAATAATGCAGGATCACGTCCAAGACTACCGTCCTCGGACAACGTTAATAAGACGTGCAGTGGATTCAGATAAGCAGCCCAGCTCCGCTTTGACTCCGTCCTAGATCCATCATTGTGAGTGGCATCCTATTCTTCACTCAGCATCCACGCGGAGCGGACAGAAAAGTTTTTCTTTGAGCTGGATGGGATTGTGTCGTCGCTTTCAGTGCCACCGGCCAATGAGCGGAGTTTCGCGCTTAGCTGCTCCTCCCTCCCTCTGCCCGCTCTACCCGCTCTCTGGCGCTCCACTCGAAGTGTGTGGACGGACCTCTTCATGTTTTGTCTGGCTGGGTTGGCGGAGGTCGGGGCGGATGGTTCTCAGCGCCGCCACGAGGTCGGCTGGCCGGCCGGCCGTGAACCGCAGCTCTCAGCTCTCATGTTTGGCAGGATCAATAGTGGTGTTATTGAGACGAATGGCGCGCACCATCGGCAGGCTGCGGCGGCGGCGGCTGGGACCTGATGATGAGGACAGCTGGTATTGGACAGACGGGATAGCTGGTATTGGACAGCCACAGTCACAGAACAACTGGTATTGGTCAGGTAGGACAGCTGGTATTGGTCAGCTTTAGGCCAGCTAGTATGTATTTGACAGGCAGGCAGCTGGTATAAGACTATCACAGGACAGCTGGCATTGGATAGAACGGCAGCCACAGGACAGATCAGGTATTGGACAGTCAGTACAGCTGGTATTGGACAGACATCTGATATTGGACAGTCACATGACAACTAGTATTGGATACTCAGGTAGGACAGCTCTGGTATTGGACAGACAGGACAGCTGGTATCAAGCATAGAGGCACCCACAACAGCAAGAGGGTTGGGGACAAAACAGTCCTATATAGCGATGGATAGAAGGTAGAGGACAGAAACTCAAGAAAATACGTGAGAATTGATCAGGGACAGATAATGATTAAAGAAAAA